TTATTATTATTATCATTATTATCATCATTATTGTCATTATTATCATTATTATCATTATTATTATTATTATCATTATTATCATTATTATTATTATCATTATTATTATTATTATCATTATTATTATTATTATTGTTATTATTATCATTATTATTATTATTATTATTATTATTATCATTATTATTATCATTGTTATTTTTATCATTATTATTATTATTATTATTATCATCATTATTATTATTATCATTATTATTATCATTATTATTATCATTATTATTATTATCATTATTATTATTGTTATCATTATTATTATTATTATCATTATTATTATTATCATTATTATTATCATTATCATTATTATTATTATCATTATAATAATCATTATTATTATTATCATTATTATTATTATTATTATCATTATTATTATTATTATTATTATTATCATTATTATTATTATTATCATCACTAACAAATATATCATATTATGTTCCAGGCTACAGTTTGAATCAACGCCATTATGTCTGTTACCACGAGAGAGTAGACTGTGTTTGACTCTAATAGGGTTAAAGATAATACCAGGTGGTAATAATGATGTCAATAATAAAGTTTCTATGACACTAGGTGGAGCCACTATACAGTTATTTAGTCAAAGAGGGTATGTTATTATTTCATACTGGGCCCAGATTGTACAGAAACTTGTTAAAGCATCTAGTGTAGGAATCTGCAGAAAAAAGAACAGAACGAAATATTCATTTATTGTATTTTAACTTTGAAAATATCTTGTTGTTATAAATGTTTTAAACAAGAAAAGAATGAAACAACTATATTTTACAAGGATAACAACAGTTAATGACCCTTTCTACCAGCTGGTCCTTGGCTAAACCTCTTGGTATTGATCTTTCCCAGATTAACCGTACCCATTTTCAGCTGGGTCGACTGGAATTATGAGTGAAAATGACTTATTCAAAGTCATCGGACTATCACACGCCTATCGAGAATTGAACTCACAGCCGTAAAAATCAACACCAACCGACTGTGTTATAGAAACTCACAAAAGTTAGCCAACTTCTTGATGATATTATTGTCTTTGATTCCAGACATCTGGTCCAAGGTAATCAGTTGGTACCGTTACAGATGGGAGTTAAAGCTGATCATCTGATGCCCTCATGTCGTACCCTGCTACCAGATTCTGTTCTTTTACAAGTATGTTTTTTTTTTGAATAATATTAATTAGTTATCTATGTCATGAATATTTACCTGATGGTTCTTCTCTTCGGAGGAATCCACTACTATACAACTTTTACTGACCCTCACCTGTAAATATTTTGCCATACTTTGACATGATTGTTTTGTTGGTACTGATTGTTATTTTCAGAGTATATTTTTTAATTTGTGATTTACCTGCTCTTGTTTATTTTGTAGGTAAATTTACCTGATTTTGATAAAACAATTTTCTTCCCAGAACCAATCGCTAAAAAATCCAGGTAAGATACCAGAGAGTTCACATAGTTTATATTGTGTATTTAGTATGTAGGTTTGCTTACGCTTTCCAATGAGGCAAATTGTAGTTATTAATATCACTGGAGCATGTGAAATTTTAAAAAAAATCCTTTTAGGAGCTTTTACACTATTAACTTGCCTGGTGACACTTGGAGACAAGGAGAGGTTTACATGATTTACAAAACATCTTTACAATGCCTTGAAGCAACAATTAATGGTAGAGATCACATTAATCAATGTACTGGTATTTTTTATACAGTGATAAAAGACCGTTTGATGCCTTGTTTCCTGAAATCAGAGAAACTGTGATGAACGTGCTAGACAAAGAATCTACGGCAATGTAGGTTTTTAATTTGTTAATCAGATCAAAACAATCTTCATCTAGATTAAAGATAAAGCAATAATACTTCTTTGATTGCACACTGCATGGCGTTGGCTGTCTTCACAGGACAAGAATCACTATGGTTATCTCTGCTTTAGTTCATTAAGACTGGACAGCAGTGACTGAGAGATGCTCTAATAAGGTGCCGAATAAAATAATATGATAATTACTATAGTGATAACCAATTTCGTTAACCAAAAAGTCAAACTAGATACATACATTTCATACATATTTTAACAAAAAGATCTTTCAGGAGAGGAATGACATTGTCTGTCTTTATTACCTCAATAAAATCTTGGTGCTTAGATGACTCCCTGTCAATGAAATCCTGGCTACACCACTCGTACAGAATATTGACAGTCTGTTTCCAATAGACACAGGCTGAAAATTAGGTCAGTTGTCTGACATGTTTTTTTAACTTCTGTTTTAATATTTCATGTTTCCAACAGATATGGTGCAGAAGATATGGAGATACTATGGCAGTATAGAAATTATCTACATGAATATAAAAACTTATTACCTAGAATATTGATGGCTGCTAAAAGTTGGGATTGGGGATGTTTATCAGAGATTTATAAATTGTTAGCAGACTGGCCACAACTTGATCCAATGGTAGCCTTCGAATTACTCTTACCACAGTAAGTATATCTTCACAATGGTCAAATTATTTTCTTATACCTTGACTACAATAGCCACGGTTCTTGTAGCAGGGAATGCAGCAATTTGATTGGATTATGCGCCAACAAATACAACCAATCAAAGCCCTCGATAGAAAGACTGTAAACATTATAGCTTATTATTATGAACCCTTTCGATGCTAACAACTGCTCTACTGGCTAAATACAATTAGCTTTTGAGAGGACCAGCTGGTAGAAAGCTAGAAAGCTAAGGTGTCAAATTTGTAAAATTAATGCCAAGATGTTAGACCAAGGACCAACTGGTAGAAAAAATCCTCATGAACCTAAGATGTTACCTGTGTAAAATATTGTTCTTTCTTTCTTTCTTTTCTTTCTGTTTTTTGATTAATAACCAAGTGGCCATTGAGGCAGCCATTACAAAATGAGATCAGATAACGTTATACTGCAGCATCAGAATATTTCTTACATTGACAAGGATTCAAACCTGCATCACCTTTTTACTAGCAGGAAATCGAAGTAGCTATAGACTGAGTTTTATCACTGCCCCGTTATAAATATTATAATAATTGTTTATTTTACAGATTTCCTGATTTAAAAATACGAGAATTTGCTATCAATATAATTAGTAAAATTAATACAGATGATTTAGTGGATTTTTTACCACAGTTAATTCAGGTTAGTTGTTATATCTTTATTAGAACCTGAAACATGTTGTTTCTCAGATTCACGCTATGCAATCTTCAAACAACTGACCTATTTCAGCTTGGGAGGCAGTAAGCAATGGCACAGGAATCAGAATTATTCTAACCTTGAGGAGGATTCTGTCTTCTGTCACCTAATCTCCTAGCAGACGACAATCCAACTTTCTACAAGCAGAACTATTTCTATACAAATCATTAGAAATCTGTTTCTGAATTTGTTATAAGTACAAGAGGAAATAAGAAGATATAATGTGCAGTTCCCATTTATCATTAAAATAACTTGACATCCCAGTGTCCATTTTACCCAAATCTTTTCTTATCTTTCAGGCATTAAAATTTGAGAGTTACCACAATTCATCATTAGCTCAGATGTTATTAGAACAGTCGTGTAAAAGTATCAGATTTGCTCATCAATTTTTCTGGTAAAATATACTTTTTCTAAATTTTTTAACTCTTACTATTATAAGTATGAAAGGGTTCACAAAAATAGGATTTTATATCGTTTAATAATTAACTCAGTAACTCATTAAGGCATTAGTTTTCAACCTGTTTTTATATGTCTCTCCGAATCGAATCAGTATGAAAATGATGTCCCCAGATATTGAAAGTGTAACTATGATTGGATACCAGGCACGTTCTCACATAGTTTAATAGTAATAATTCTCTGAGTACTCCTAGACAATGTTAATTTAGACTGTGTATAGTGTAGTCATCATATGAGATGTTATATATATTGTGGATGAAAAGTTTTTATTTTTCACAGCATGTGACTGGCTGTGAAACATCAAATGTCCCCAAAGAAAAGTGCAAATGTCCCCACCTTGGGACATGTTCCTGTGGTTGAAAACCTACGCATTAAACATTGAGAAATTGAAAAGTAATTTTGATTTTTGCTTTATCATATTTCAAATAAAGCTTTGGACTTCTTATTAGGTTATTGAAAGGCGTGGCTGCTCAAGATGCTATGTTTAAAAGAAGATATGAGTTGATGTTTGTAGCTCTAGCCAGTGTAGCAGGTGATGCTCTCTATCAGGAATTTAAGAAACAGGAAGATCTGGTAAAAATACTCACTACCACAGCTGATAGAGTTCAGATTGGGAAAGATAAAGATGTAAGTAGTTATTACACTTAGATTTCTTAGTTGTCGCTCTGTTGATGAGTTCTGTCTTGAGAGTAGGGTCTGTGGGGGCTTGACAGCCCCGTCTTTAAGGTGGGGTCCGTGGGGGCTGGGGCCCAGCAAGTGAGAATTAAGCCCCAGCAAAACCCTCTTCAGTTCACAGTTCAGCAGAGATTGATTCATTTACTGTGGCAAAAAGATATAGATTTAGATATGTTTTTGGCACCTCAAAATTGTCAGAAATGATTTCTCTGGGCCTTTAATTCTTCAAAATCTGAGCCCCAGCACCAATTCATTCCTGGCAACTGGACCGTTTGCACGCTCAAGAATCACGATCCTGGAATCAACCAGATATTCAATAAAACAAGTTGTAACAGAGTTCAGATGTAAGCAGTTAATACACTGGGTCATGATGACATTTGTGATCGTGTCATTCATATTTTGAATGCCGTAACCACAGAAGTAAAGGCAGGAAATTGGAATGGTGTAAATGGAAGCTACAAGTGTACCTGAAAAAATCAAAAAATTCTTTACAATCCCATTAAGAGGCTTTGAGAATTTTGCTCAAAAATTAAAATATATTTACCAAATTACCTATTTTTGAATTTTGACCAGGTAAAGAGAGAGTTTGTACAGGTTTGAAAACAATAATTTTATTTTGATTTCTCTGTTTGATTTTTGGGGAGTTCGAGGTATTTTTTAAGCTTCTTTTTAATAAAATGATTGTCAGTTTCTTGATATATGAGAAGAAATTCCTGGAGTTTATTTTCTTTGGTGATGGATATTTTGGGATTTCAGTTTTCTACATTTTCAAATTTGATTTTCATTAAGGAAATAAATGGCATATTTGACATGGTTTGACTGGCTTCAATCAGGTGTATTTGTTTGATTTCTATAAATCTAAGTTGAATGGCTGAATGGCTGAGATTGCTTCATTGTTTGCCTACAAAAAGAATTCTTATTATCAACAGTGGACAAATATTGCTGCTGGGTTCAAACTTGTTCATGATTATCCTACAATACTTATCCTTTATTAGGTCTGTCAGATATTTCTGTACGTCCAAAATATGCTAATTTAATTGAAATATAAATATGAATATACATTTTGTATTTTTACTACACTAATCCTCTTTCGACAAGATTCTTCTCTAAAACCTGTTCTGTCAAAATTTAACACATAGCGTCAAAAATTGTCATAGTTGATGTGAACCAATCAAAAACATTGTAGTTAAACTATACAAGTCAATACTTAATAATGAATATCCCAGAATTCCTCACATTAAGTAAGGACACTTTTTATTGAACAGAGTATTTGATTGGTTGAATATTCAATGACCAAGAACAGGAGTTTTATAAAAATCACGTCAGATCATGGACGGCTAGTAAAAAACATCTAATTTTAAAAATGAGCTCTTCCAATCGTACATATACAGTTTAATGTTAATAACAAGTATGCATGTGTGGAAGAGTTCAATAGAAATTTGAGGGGTGTTTAATAGATGACTGGAACACTATATCAAGCCTTGCAGATCTCAACACCCCTTATTTTACAAATGAGCTCTTCCAATCATACATATATACTTTAATGTTAATAACAAGTATGCATGTGTGGAAGAGTTCAATAGAAATTTGAGGGGTGTTTAATAGATGACTAGAACACTATATCTAGCAGACTTGTAAGGTGTCATATACAATATATATTCTAGGGTATATTAAGAAGAGAATTACAAGTATTATATGAAAGATTTGAAGAGAAAGGGAGATTATTAATGCCCTATAATCCTAGTATAGAAGTTTGTGGTGTGGATATTAAGGTAAGACTGGATCCCCTGATATTCTTGACATGTTTATCAACTATCTCTACTAAAAATTATGGTATGATTAAAGAGACAGGTTCCTCATCCGTTTGACCAATCGTACCTCAGTCTCAGATACAGGATTTTTTTTTAGCTAAGCCAAGACAGAATGACTAGGTTTACTTGCTTTGTGCTACAATACACGTGATTCAAGATGGCGAACTTGATTAAATACACCTCGGATATTTGAATTCAGATTAAAATTTTGATGTTTATTTTTCCAGTCTTGTTCATATTTCACGTCCAATGCCTTCCCTCTAAAACTGGTATTTAAAAATTCCAACCAAAAAGCTGATCCTGTGTATGCCATGTACAAGGTAAGTGTTCTCTAGTAAATCTCTAGTAAAAGAGTCAAGAATGGAGCTAGTTAACCTAGTTTTCTCCTGGACGAGAGTAATTACACCCCCTTGCAGTAATATCTAATCCTCTGTCATCTCAAATTAATTTTTTGGTTTCTGGTTGTCTGAAGTATTCAATAACTGTAAACAATGCAAACTGACTTTTACTATCACACTTGTACCACAAAAATAAAAATTTCATCTGTACGAATGTATCTCACTGAGATCTTTTTATCTATTTCCTTGCATCCCCTTAAATACTTTCACATTGTTGTTATGTTGTCAAACTTATCCGGATCTTGTATCAAAAAGAAATAGATGTAAACAATCTTTCTTTTCTACCAGGATCTGGTCTTTGGCCAACCATTTAGGTTTTTCTGGATTATCCTCACAGCTGCGTCTGACATCAAATTTTAACTGACTGTGCTAGAGTCTGTCCTTGAAAGATTTAATGTGTTTATTGTAATACTAGGTTGTTATAGTCGAGTAATGATTTATGAGTTTGTATGTGTTTATTGTAATACTAGGTTGGAGATGATCTGAGACAAGATATGTTGACGTTACAAATGGTGAATATCATGGATCAACTGTGGTTAAAACAGAGTTTAGATTTAAAGATGATTACCTTCTCTTGTCTCGCTACGGGACCTAAGAAAGGTAAAAACTCTTTCAAGAGACAGTTTCGCCATTCATTGAACCAATCGTACCTTAATTTCAGAAATGGGAATTTTTTAGTTAAGCTAATCAGTAATAGTGTTCAAAGCTCACCGTCAAAATTCAAATCTACAGGTGTCTAGAATTATCTGCGTATAAAATTTAAAATGGCGACTCGTCATATCTTGAGACACTGCCATATATAGAAATAGACAGTAAAATTGTTAGTCTTAGTACATTTCTTGTATTTCAAGACTATTTAAAGGACCCAAATCAACCCCTGAAAATGGCAAACCTGTCTCTTTAATATTTGTAACATTTCATTTATCAATTGATATAAAGATGTAAAAAATTAATAAGAAAATTCCATAAAGCAGTATAAATTCATTTTAGTCTTATATCAGCTAGTGATATTATTACATCTGTACATTTACTATGAACAATTTTCAGTATTTTTTTTATAAATTTTACAAAACAGAAGAAAAATCATTAAATTTAAAGGTTTCTGTCT